AGTGTCATTAAGTACATTGACATTGTTGTGCAACCTTCACTACCATCCATCCATCTCCAGAATAGTGTCACCATCTAAAACTGCAACTCTGTATCCATTAACAGTAACTCCTATTCTCCCTTCACCACAGCCCTGTTACTACTCTTTTTTTTTTTTACTTACTGCATTTATAAAGTTACCTACCTATTCTAGAGACCTCATATGAGTGCAATCGTATGATATTTGTCCCTTTGTGTCTTCCTATTTCATTTAGCCTAGTGTTTTCAAAGTTCATCCATGCGGTAGCATATATCAGAATTTCATTTCTTTTTTAAATCCTTTTTTTCTCAATTACAGTTGACATACAATATTATATTAGTTCCAGGTGTATAGCTCAGTGATTAGACATTCTGTAACTTACTAAGTGATCATTCCAATAAATTTTGTACCCATCTGACACCATACATAGTTATTGGAATATTATTGACTATATTCCCTATTCTGTACTTTACATCCCCATGAGGACTCTGTAACTACCAACTGTACTTCTAAATCCCTCCAACTTTTTCACCATCCCTCCAATGCCCCTCCCACCTGGAAGCCATTAAAATGTTCTCTGTATCTATGAGTCTATTCTATTCTTCTTGTTCACTTATTTTGATTTTTATATTCAATTGTTGATAAGTATGTATTTATTGCCATTTTATTGTTCATAATTTTTTTCTTCTACTTCTTAAAGAAAACCTTTTAACATTCCATGTAATACTGGTATGGTGGTTATGACCACCCTTAGCTTTTTCTTGTAGTCTGGGTATGAACTTATTTAGCTTTTTCTTGTGGTCTGGGAAGCTCTTTCTCTGCCCTTCAATTTTAAATGAGAGCTTTCCTGGGTAAAGTAATCTTTGTTGTAGGTCCTTTGCATCACTTTGAATATTTCTTGCCATTCCCTTCTGGCCTGTAAATTTTCTGTTGAGAAATCAGCTGACAGTCTTATGGGAGCTCCCTTGTAGGTAAATAACTGATTTTTTTTTTTTTTTTTTTGCTGCTTTTAAGATTCTTTCTTTGTCATTCAGCCCATTCTGTATCTCTATACCTTCAACCAGTCTCAATGTGGCGTCTTCTTTAAATCTCTAGTTATAGAACTTCCATTCAGCTGGGTTTTAGGTGGTTCTGAATGATGTTATATAATTTAGTTGTATTTTTGATGTCATTGTGGAAGGGCTGAAGTACCACATTTCCCTATGTTACCATCGTGACCCGTAATGATGTATTTCTTGGAACAAATCCCCATCGTTAGGTAGAAATGACTGTAAATAAAGAACACATACAACTCAATAGCAAAAAACCCCAAACAATTCAATTAAAAAATGGGCAAAGGATTTGAATAGTTATTTTTCAAAAAAAGATGCACAATTACGAATAGATACATGAAAAGGTGCTCAGTATTACAGATGATCAGAAAAATGCAAACCAAAACCACAGTGCAATATCACCTCACGACCTGTAAGAACAACTATTAGCAAAAAGACAAGAAACAGCAAGTGTTGATGAGGTTGTGGACCAAAGGAAACCCTGTGCACTGCTGGTGGGTATGTAAATTGATACAGATACTATATGTTGGGAAACACTCCATCTGGTTTCAGGAAATGTAGCCCTGCCAACAGGAGAGAGGGCCCGAAGGCTGAAGCTAATCAAGGAGGCCTTCTGAAAATAGGCCACTGAGGAGACAAAACCTGTCCCCCTGGCAGGGGTGCAGCCCCTGCCTCCCTCACATCACCCTGCTTGGCCCTGGAGGATGGCTGGTTAGTCAATGATGGGTATGACCCTATCAATGGCAGAGGCAACCTTAGACAGGCACAGCCGCAATGGGCATAAGGGAAAATACTTGGGGGACACAGAGAAGGGGCAAAATGACCCTCACCCCTCGGCTTTGTTATGGCCGGGGTCCTCATTCTGTCTGAAAGAAGTCTCCTTATTTCCTGGCTGCCTTGCCCTTCCCCCTGCCTGGCTCAGGTTTGAAACAATACTAGAGACAGCCCTAAACTGGATCTGGCAGTTCCCAGGGGAAATCAAGCCTAGAAGTAAATTCTTTAAAGCATGTTCTGTTTTTCCCTCAAAAGCTATGATAAGCAGCCCATGCTGGGAAGGAAATGTACATTATTCACACACCCTGACCCTAAAACCTTCGGGGCCCTGTGTTTTTGCTCTCATGTTTACTCATCCCATCTCGGACCCATGTAAAAGGACCCGTGTAAGTCAGTGTGTTCCTGCCATTTGTTTTCTTCAAAGCATCATCTATTCTCTGTAAATATTAACATACTGATGTAATGAGATCACCTGTGCATTCCTATTACCTAGCCCCATTGATAACCCGTTCAATAAAAGCCTTTGGACGCAGGGGCTCAGGACCTTCTCCACTAGAGAGAAGAGCCATTTCCCCTCTCCTGGCAGACAGAGAAGTGTCTGGTATGGCTCATTTCATTGCACTCCATCCGGACAACCCCCAGGACAGGCTCTGCGGGATTCAGAGCCCCGCTCTCTCCTCAGCTGGCCCAAGAACTGGGACCTGCAGAGTCCTTCCCTCAACTATAAAAAACAGTGTAAAGTGTCCTCAAAAAATTAAAAATAAACCAACTATATGATCTAGCAATTCCATTTCAGGGTATTTATCTGGAGAAAACAAAAACACTAAATCAAAAATATATCTGCACTTCTATATTCACTGTAGCATTAGTTACAATAGCCAAGATATGGAAATTACCTGTGTCCATTGATAGATGAATAGATAAAAAATTGTGATCATATAAATACACAGACACACACACACACACAATGTAAGATTATTCAATCATAAAAAAGAAGGAAATTTGCCATTTCTCACAACATGGATGGACCTTGAGGGCACCATGCTAACTGAAACAAGTCAGATAAAGAAAGATAAATATGGTGTGATATTGTTTATATGTACATTATTTTTAAATAAATAAATGAAAATTTAAAAACCCAGCTCATAGATACAAAGAAAAGATTGGTGGTTGTCAGAGCCAGAGCAGAGATGGGGGCTTGTGGCAGCAGGGGCGTGAAGGAGATCAAACCATACAGACTTCCAATTATAAATGGCATGGGGTTATAATGCACAGCGCGGTGACTATATTGTACTTAAAAGTTGCTAAACATGTTGCTGAGAGTTTTCACAATAAAAAGAAAATTTGTAACTATGTATGGTGACAGATGTTAACTAGACTTACTACGGTTCTCATTTCAAATAGACAGGGGTTGACAAGTAGGTTTACAGTTGTGAGTACATGAAATATAGAGTTTATTCTTGTATTATATATTAATTATTGTATTATCTTCCATAAGGACAACTGTAAGCTTATGTTTGCCCACTTCTATATACAAATACCTAATCATTATGTTGTACACCGAAAATGAATATAACGTTATCTGTCAATTATACCTCAATTTTTAAAAAGAAGAAATAAAACTATACAGAAAAAAAAAATCCTATAACACTTTTGTTTGAATTTATTTATCAGTTTTAAAGTGCTTGGGCATAGCCCTGACCAGTGTGGCTCGGTTGGTTGGGCAACATCACACGAAACAAAAGGTCACCAGTTTGGTTCCCCAGACAGGGCACATGCCTGAGTTGGGGGTATGACAGAGGCAACCAATCAATGTTTCTCTTTCACACCGACATTTCTCTCCCTCTCTTTCTTCCTCCCTTCATCTCTCTCTAAAAATAAATAAAATCTTTAAAAAATAATGAAGTGCTTTGGCACTCTTTCCAATTTATCCATGTTTCGTGGTAAATTAGTGTTTCTCAGGAGAAAAGCTTGGAAATCACTTGGTAAGGAGTGTGCTTGATGAATGGGAAAAGAATGAATAAATGTCCACTGCAATTTGTTTTTGAAAACTACTTGCAACATTTCTTTAATAGTTGATTCAATTTGTGCTTTAAAAAATATAATTTCGTACTTACAGAAGTTTGCGAGAATCATGCAAAGATTTCTGGAATGGTTTTCCTTCAGATTTCCCAAATACACATAGATGATTTCAGTGTTTTTTAATACAAATGATGCATCAATGAATAACCTGTGAAAACGTGTTTTTATATAATGGAAGTAGGGGTATATGTTCAGAGTAAATTCTTGGATGGAGAATTGCTGGATCAAAGGTAAATGCATATATATTATGCCACTTATTGCCAAATGCCCCTCCGTTATGGTCATAGCAATTTGCATCCTGACTAACGATGTATTGGAGTCCCTGTTTTCCCACAGCCTTGCTATGAGACTATATTGCTATTCTTTTTAATTTTTTCTCACCTTGATAGTGAAAAATGGCATTTCAGTGTAGCCTTAATTGACATATCTCTTGTTATGAGTGAGGTTGAACATCTTTTCATATGCTTAACTGGCATATCTTTTTTGTGAACTGTCTGTTCCTGTCTTTTTACCACTTTATTGGGGGTTTTGTCTCAAAAATAAGATTTAAATATGCACCTTGGGGAACCATTTAAAATACCAGACACAGTTTAGGTGCTGCAGATGGAATGATAAACAAAATTACTCACAAAGTTTACTCAGCATAATTGCACCTGAAACTGAAATACACACCAGGTTTATATCCTTGGTTGAGTTTGAAATAATTTCAAAAAATCCAAAATCCTGTAGCTCCATTCACATTACCTAAACATATTTTAAGTAAAGATCCACTTGTAACTTTTCATACAAATTCCAAAAGGAAAACATCATGGAACCTAGCAATTGCGTTGGCGACAACATGTTAGAAGGCTGGCAGAATGCAGAAGAGAAAACTTTCAAGAAAACATGTAAATCCTGTTCGAAATAAAGTAATATGACTTTTTAATTTTTTTATTTTCTTCTACAGTTATATATCTTCAGAATGATTCATTTAGCTGATGGCTCTGGACAATCAAGCGGTTTCTCTCAATGCGTAACGCACTGCAGTTTTCCGCAATGGTGGCACCAAGCTTTTTACAACTTTTTCACCTTCAGCTGCCTCTTCATCATCCCTCTTCTCATCATGTTGATCTGCAATGCAAAAATCATCTTCACCCTGACACGGGTCCTTCATCAGGATCCCCACCGTACGCATTCCTTAGATTTGGTGCTAATTGTGGGTAAACAGCTTTTAAGCAGCAATACCCAGAGTGGCATTTACTATGTGCCAGATACTGTTCTAAGCAGTTTACATGTATTAACTCATTTAACATTCATAATCACCCCAGGAGGTGATACTTTTATAACCTCCAATTTACAGAAGAGGTTATATATCCCAATGTCCTAAATGTGCACATGGGATTAAAGAAGAAAGGGCCATCACCCCATACACCCAGCATAGGCATCGACAAAGTGTTCCTGCTGGGCCATCGCAGCCCTGTGTCAACGCCTGATTTCTAGCCTGTAGCGAAGTATAATTTATTAAGTATAGCTAATATATTTGTTAAAATTACACTGCTCTGTTTCACATTAAATCCCCTATATCCACACAAATTAACTACTTCCATTTATATGTGTATGTGTTGGATATGCAGAATATTGTTGAAAGTATAATTGACTGTTTCATGTGAAACTTCATGAATGTACTTGTGGTGTTTTTGCTTCAATAACCTGCTGCATTCTCAAAAACTAAAATTAAAGAATTTATAAAGTAAGCATGGTTATGTTGGCATGACAACCCAGATGCAGAGAATTGAATTCCACTCAACCTAAGTCTGCTCTCTTAAATTTACATTTTAAGAATCTGAGTACCCCCATATTTCAAATCCAAATTAGTTTGGTAAAAACTATCCATTATATGATACAGTGGAAAACTTGAAATAAAAACATGCTTTTCCAACAAATTATAATTATTAAAAACATAGGAAATTTGTTTCCATTACATTCATTAGGTTGAATTAGTGATTCCCTCTTCCTCTTTGTCCATTTTAGTTTTGTAACAAAACTGGTCTTTAAACACCTACTCTTTTTTCTTTCTAATAGAACTACAACTGAATCAATCCAAGAACAATATACCAAGAGCCCGGCTGAAGACTCTAAAGATGACAGTGGCATTCGCAACTTCATTTACCATCTGCTGGACTCCCTACTATGTCCTAGGAATTTGGTATTGGTTTGATCCTGAAATGTTAAACATGGTGTCAGACCCAGTGAATCATTTCTTCTTTCTGTTTGCTTTTTTAAATCCATGCTTTGATCCACTTATATATGGATATTTCTCTCAGTAATTATTAGACAACATAGGAAGTCATAAAGAAGAGTAAGGTAGTGCATTTTCCCATTTGAGAATGATAAACAGGTTGCAGCATGCATACTTCTAAACAAAGCAGAATTTACAGTTATGTTGTCATTCTTTTTTTTTTCAATTATTATGTCATCAGAGACTCATTTACAAGGGGGAAAAAAAACTTCAGGAAAAATCTTGAAATATTTTCCCTTAATCGCAAACTGCTGAATTAATCTCTGCTTTTTCTGAGCTGCTGTAACACTTATATGGGTTCCCCATCACTTTCTTCTCGTATAATAATGTATGAATATTTAAAATAGCCATGGCCTAAGGCAAAGAGATGCCAAAGAGGCTGAGAAACCACAACACAGTCTTAACCTCATCAATCTATGGAGAACTTTTCTCCAAAAGGGCTTAGAGCAATTCTGATCTTATGCTACAATAATACATGGAGCACAGAGACAGTATTTCCCATCCCCATTAAATCAATTTTCCTTCCTATGGTTAAAGAATGCAATGAATCTAATTTTTTCTTTGGCGTCAAAAACATTCTAATGTTTGGAGTATTCCTCAACTACGCACCATCCACGCTATCAACCTGACAACACTTCTAAGTAGTTCTTCACTTCATTCTTTATATTGTATGTGAAGTGCTTCTACATAAAGGAGAATCTTAAAGGGGCACCGATTTGAACAGGAGTTAGAACATTCTTCTAGGCTGTCTGTGGTAATTAAGTATAGTAATAATAACATTGTTTTAAAATACAATCAAGAAAAGACCTAGACTAGTTATATTTTAAATATAATATACCCTGTTCTTTTATCATATAGAATTTGTGTTTCTCATGTCTATTATTTATTTCTTTTTTTATACCCTCTGTTCTAAGATAAGGGATTTTTTTCTATCTTCTGATTTAAATAAGAAATCAAGCAAATGCACAAGCAGAAGATTATTTGATATGTAAAAGAAACTCTGAAAACCACACAGTTCCAGTATGTACAAATCAAAGAAGACAGCAGAGTATTAGAAAAAAGCAAAAGAAAAACTCTGTAAATGGGTCACTACTCCTACTGATACTCACATTAAGTGGTATGGTTTACAAAATATGTCAGCACAAAACTTCTTTTAGTTCAGGCCTCTGTCTACCCATTCCATGGAAAAAAAGAGAGTATAAAAATAATGGGACTATAATATCCATTAAATGAGAAGATTATATAAGGAACTTAAAAGAAATCCAACCATTATTTAACTTATTTTTTAATAAGTAAAATACCATTATATTCATCTGAGATATGTATGCCACACAAAAGATGAAATGTAATTTCCAAATATTCCAGAACATGTGGACTTGTGGAAAGTGAACTGTTAATTAGACTCATGATAGGTCTTTCCTTTCCTTGTTCTTCTCTTTTCATACTTTGTTTGTTTGTTTGTTTGTTTGTTTGTTTTTAGTGTTGTTGTTTGTGTTGGATTTTTTTTCCCCACATCCTACTTTATCTTCCAATTCTGTCTCTATTGGTCCTATTCTGTTAGCAGTGAGCTCCTTCCTTCTGCATTTTTATTCATTCCTCCTTTTTTACTAAACTCATACCTTTAATCAACCAATCCATGCTCCAAATTTACAGTTGAATTGGGCATGGCTCAAAATTTGAAACATACTGAAATGCTCAATTTTAACTTTAAAAGCATGTATATTGATACCAAGATTTTACAGTTCTGCTAGATAACACAAGAATATATAGTCACAACAAAACCAATCTTCTACAAATCTCTATTATAATATACTTATTCCTAAACTGATAACAATTCTTCTGGGTCTAAAGGCAAAAATAATACACATACACAAAATATAACCCAAGGGCTTTATTAAAATATGTGTTTATGAACATATGTCAGTTTGGCTCTTATACTTTCAAGATATGTTTCTATTTAGATATGTTCTCAGGCATTTTTTGATATTAACTAAAGGGGTGTTCAAAATCTTGATGCAGAGGGTCTTTGGCCTATAGTCCATGCAAAAACAGTATTTAAAAACTGTAATGCATCTGCTTTTTTATTTTTTGAAAGATTTTATTTATTTATTTTTAGATAGCGAGGAAAGGAGGGAGATAAGAGGGAGAGAAACATCACTGTGTGGTTGCTTCTTGCACACTCCCTACTGGGGATCTGGCCTGCAACCCAGGGATGTGCCCTGACCAGAAATCTAACCAGTGACCATTTGGTTTGCAGGCCTGCACTCAATCCACTGAGCCACACCAGCCAGGGCTATTTGTAGTATATTATGCTTTAAAAATACTATCCTGAGGGGGGTTTATAGGCCAAACCAGATGGCAAAGGAGCTCATATCACAAAAAAATGCTTAAGAATCTATGATTCTTATATATTTATAAGAAAGTTTATTACAATAAAAATGTATCAGAATATTTTCATTTGTTTATATACATGTATAATAATGTTAATATGGAAACTGTATTGTTTCAGTTTTATTACTCACCATTTTCAAACTTGGAACCCTCTTAAGGCTCAATATGTAATGCAAACCATAACAGAAATAAGTATACTACATGAATACGATGGTCCATAAATTCTAATGTGGGTATAGATATAAACTAAAACTCATAGTCCAAAAGGTAAATGTAGCTTTTAAATTAAAGAAACACCATTCAACAAAGGATATTTAATACTTGATATTATAGTCAATTACTCTATTCCCAATCACAATAAAAGAGGGAATCCAATATATCAGTTTTGGTTGTCTCCTCTTTTATTTAGCATATAAATCTGGTTTAAAATTTGGTTTCCTACTGCAACTCAGTTTAGTAAAGAAATTACATGAACTAATAACAATAAATTGAACAAAGATTGCACTAATTCAATTTTGGCCTAAGAAACAGAGATATAATAGCTAAAAAAATACCATGGGGGACAGAGAATGGTACCACATATATTATCTTCTAGGGAGCTTAAATCAGTGTAAGTTAGAAATTTCCTTAAAGTGACCTGGTCTCAGAATTTATTTAGTAGTCACAATGGGATATTCATGGGCAGTTAAAATTTATTTAGAATTTAATCTATTTTGCCTTTAGCTTAGTTTCAAATATTGAATCAGTTTGTTAGTATTGTCTAATTACTATAAATTGTGTCCATAGGAAGCTAAATAAAATAAGGTTCAGATTAATCTCTAATTAAGACTAATTTAAATGTTCAACTTAATTCTTATGGTTATTAAGTTTTTTTAAAGTCAAGTTTAAAGCTATTAGTCTAATTTTAAAAATTACTTAAATGCATGTATAGGAACAATAGAATACATGCAGAAAGTGTTGAAGTAGTTATCTCCAAGTGATAATTTTTTAAAATTTCTTTCGTTTGAATTCCTGTAACTTCAAGTTTACAAAATAAATATATATTGATTTTGGAATGAGAAAAATACAATAAATATTATTTGTGTGTGTGCTTGTATGACTTTTATTTTATGCATCACTGTTACTGATAGAATGGTTTGTGCTGTAAGTAATAGAAATGTGACTAGCAGTGGCATTTTTTTTTCGTTTCATGTTACTGGAACTACAGAAGCAAGTAGAGATGATGAATTCAAAGCTTCAAGTCATTTTTTTCTTCTTCTACTAGACTTTACTTTAGTGACTAGAAGTTAGCTGTCATCAACTAGAAGTCTCAAAGGCAGAAAGTAAAGGTGGCTTCTTATTGTGCATCTCTCCTTCCAAGAACTTCATCACTTCCTCGTAAATTGGCTATAACTGGAAGATATGACCACCTCTAAACAAATATTGGGTTGGCCAAAAAGTCCATTTAGCTTTTTCCATAATTATAAAAGACACATTTTTCATTTCCACTAATAACTTTATTGATTTGGATACTTTGAGTATGCCGGCTATCTGCCATGTGCTATAACATTGATTGTCCTCAGTTAATGTCTCAATTTGATTGCTATCAACTTCAGCTGGTCTACCTGACCATGAAGCACCATCCAGAGAGAAATCTCCAGTTTGAAACTTTGCAAACAACTTTGGACACATTGGATCAGTTACAGCACCTTCTCCATATGCTGTACAAATCTTTTTCTGCATTTCAGTTGCATGTTTACATTTCTTGAAGTAATAAAGACTAATGTGCCAAAAATGTTGCTTATTTTCTTCCATCTTCAATATTAAAATGACAACGCAAAAAATTCACCAATTTTGATGATTTTTTTAATGCATGCTGATGTGACAGCTGTCACAATACAATCCAACAAAATTGTTTCAAATGAAGTTAAATACAACTAAGCACTACTAGAGCCATCTTATGGAAAAAAACGAAAGGAACATTCTGGCTAACCCAATAACTAGTAAAGGAGCATGGGATTACCCTAAACACTTTAAGGGCATGCTTTATCTTAGGGAGGCAGTGTTCAATTTCCTGAACAATTAGACATCTAATAACTGGAAAAAAAAATTGTCGTTTTCTGAGGGTTCCTGTCAAGATGGCAGCATAGGTTATCATGCTTGCCTCTTTGCAAAACCACATAAAAATTACAACTAAGTATAGAATAACCATCACTCAGAACCATCAGAAATAAAGTTGAATGGAAGTCTGACAACTATGGGATTAAAGAAACCATACTCATCCAGACTGGTAGGAGAGGCAGAGATGCACAATGAGCTTGTCCCACATTCACATGTAGTAGATAAAAATTCATGACGAATATCTCAGGAGTGAGGAGCCCAAGACCCACACCAGTCCTCACAGCCAGTACCAAGAAGGTAAGTCCCCAAAACTTCTGGCTGCAAAACCCAGCAGGGATTGAGTAAGTGGAAGACACTGTTGGAGTCCCAAGCAGTTCCTCTTAAAGAACTCACACTCAGACTAAACCCAGACTCACTCCCTCTGAGCT